CTCGACACCTGGCTTGGGGGCGCCTCGCCGCGTGCCTCAGTTTACCGCCACATGCCAGCTGCCGCGGAGAGCCCCTTCCTCCCTGGCTCGGAACGCCCACCCCACCCCCAGCAACTGGCCAAAGCGGGAGGCAGCGAGGGAGCGGCCTCCGGTCCTAGGAGGGGAGAGCGGCCCCCGCTGCCGCCTCCCCTGGCCCCCGCCACCCGCCGTTGATATGGCAACCGACGGCCGCCAGGGGGCGCGGCGACACTGGAGGCGGCGAAGGAGCAACGCCTGGACCTTCCAGTGCTGGACGCCCTGTTCTCTGGGAGGCAGAGGTGAAACCCACCGACCCCGGTCCCCGCCGAACTGCACCGAGCCTCGGGTTAGTAATCACAGAAACTGGCAGCATTTACTCAGCACCCCTGTGTGCTCACGAAGTGCTAGGCGTTCCTGCTGGCTCCTGAATCAACAGCCTCAGTCAGGATCACTAACCCATTTTACAGAAGAGGACATTGAGGCTCAGAGAGGTGAGGTCATTTGCTCAAGGTCGCCCAGTAACAAAGCTGGGACTTGAACCTGTCTGTCTGAAGAGGATTCTCCTAACTCAGGCTATTTACAGTCTCTCCAGGAGTATAGCAGTGGTGCTATTTGAGGCCTGCTGTCCTACCGGGCACCCAAGCCCACCATCCAGCCCTATGCCGCCTTCCCTGCCCCAGCGTCTTTCTCATATCTTCCTGCCTCCAGGTGCCTCCCAGTTCTTCCTCCAGCTCCACTCAACGACCAGCCCACAGCAAAGCTGTCTTCTGCCTCCTTCGTACCCCTGCCGGCTGCTCCCCTTTTCCAGCCCTCTGCCCATCGATCACCTGAGCCCTGGCCTCCCAGCCTGGCCTCTTCATCTGCCCCTCTCACAGCACTCACCAGATCATTCTGAAGTAGAGTCTGCATGTATTTCCCTCCACTGTCTTCAGGAAAAACAAATTGTGACATTTGAGGGTCTTTCCAGCCTCCCTCCTAGGCTGTGGCCAGAAAAATCTCCTCACTGTTTCCTACCTCCCCAGGTAGGAAAGGGTTCTGGGGTGCAATCAGTGAGCACAGTGCTGTGCTCACTGATTGCACCCCAGAACCATCTCTACCTGCAGAAAACCGTTCGGCTCTTACCCCACATGCTTGGCCTTGAAGCCTCCTCATAGGAGGAGGAGGCAGGAATGAATGGGTCTAGTTATCCTGGTGTCCCAGGAGACCCTGCTCTGGGGGAGGGCCCTGCCAGGGAGTGCCTTGAGGGTCAGGTGAGGAGCGGGGGGTCCTCTCCTGAGAGCAGTATGGAGCCAGCGAGGCTTTTAGGCAGTCAAGTGACATATCAGGGAGTGATCTGGGGTCAGCTTCATGGTACATTATTAGAAGCAGGGAGGCCATTGGCTAAATTGGGGGTAGTGAAGGCAAGGAGGGAGAAAATAATAATTGTAGTAATTACAATTTATTGAGGGAAAAATAAATGGTCCAAGCCATGTACTTAACACTTTATGGGAATTATCTCAATTTTTACTCAGCCAGATGAGGCGGGTACTATTACCACTTCCATTGTACACGTAAGGACAGTGAAACTCAGAGGTGACATCACCTGGCCAGGATCAAACAGCTGGCCAGTGGCCACACTGGTATTTGAACCAGGTCATTCTGGCACAAACCCCAAGCACTTGCGCACATCAGGACCCCACCCATCTGGACTGGGGGCGGAGCTAGGGCACAGTCAGGGCACAGCACTGCTGGATGAGTACCCTGGATACCAATGGGAGGAGTGAGAGGGGACAGTAGCATGGGGGTCTGCCATGGGTTTGGATGGCTTCCACAGTCAGACTCTCAGGCCAGGGCCCTTGCCTGCTTCCCATGAACCCTCCTTAAGTCACATCCTGTGGGCAGAAGCCTCAGCAGAAGTTCCGGTGCTGTCATCACCTCCACCCCATCGTCTCTGGTCTGAACCCCAATGTGGCCAGTCACTTCCCTTCTGGGCTTCGTGGCCCCAGCCCTTCCCGGGGAAGGAGGGCAGGCAGGAGCATTCAGAAGGCTGCCCAGGCCTGGGACTTCAGATCCCCCATGTGGAAATGAGAAGAGATGAGGATCTACCTGGAAATGATTCCTCACTGACTTGACTTCTGATTTGCTGGCTTGAGTTTGGTGCTTCCTGCTCCATAGATTTGCTAAGCTAACGAAGCTAGATATGTGGCCAGTACTCAATAAATGTTTGCTGACTGACTGACCAGGCTCTAAGCCCCTGGTCCTACTGCCATTTAACAATTAGGGAAACCGAGGCATAGAGTAGGAAAGGGAGCCACTGGCCAGCTGTTTGACCCTGGCCGGGACCCTTTGATTTCCTCCCCCAAGCAGGGGAAGGGTGGGGGTGTGGAGGGGAGGAGAAGACAGGCTCATGGAGTGGGCTGCCCTTGGTTGCTGGTATGTCTGGGGACACCAGGGGTCCTTGGATAGAGTGTACAGGATGGATAATGGCTGCGTGATATGCGTAGCTCTAACACCATGGACATTCTGCTCCCACTAGCTGGGTACTGACCCTGTGCCTGGACCTGTGTTGATATGTAGTCCCCCTGGAACTTTACAGCACTCCTCTTAGAGATTGCTATTATCGGGCCCAAGTTACAGAAGAGGGAACAGGCTCAGAGGGGTGACATGGCCTGCCCACGGCCACATAGCCAGGAAGTTATGGAGCTGAGATTCAAACCAGGTGAATTCAAAGGCTAGAGTCATTTACCATCGTTTACCATCATCTTACATGGCCGCCAATACCAGACAGCCGGGAAAAGCTGGGGAAAGGCATCTGCTGAGACCTACGGTACGGCGTCTGTGAGGTCAGTGTGGGTGCGTAAGGCCAGTTCCTCTCGGGGAGCACAAACATGCAAATAAAGACACAAGTGAGTGTAATATGGGTGATACTCAGTGTAAATGTTTTATTTCATTGCCCCGGGGTCATGTGCAGATGTTGTATTTGTCCCATTTTACCGATGGGAAAAATCAAGCTCAGAGAGGTGTTGTGACTTGCCCAAGGTCATGCAGGTGGCCTGAACTCAGGTTAGCCTGAGCCCAATGCCTTCAGCTATGCAGTTGAAGGCCTCCAGTCTCTAATAGTATCTGGCCAAACTGCAAGTAACTGAGTCATGGACTGGGGAAGAGGGCAGAGGGGGAGGGGACAGAAATCAGAGTAGGGTATCTGGGGGTGCTATGGCTCAGTCTAGACCTGAGGGGCTCAACAGAGGCAAAAGATGGAGCCAGTGGAAGGGAGAATGGCATTCCAGGTATGGGTCCAGCCCAAGCAAAGGCCTGATGGCAGGAAAGCACTTGTGTGTCCAGAGCTGCAGGGCAGAACATGGGCTGGGCGGCCTCCGGCACAGGCTGAGGACGGCCTGTGGGACAGCCACCCGCCAGCAGGTCCCCAGCCATACTTCCAACGGCCACTCGAGGCAGCACAAAGGGGGCTCTGAGCTCAGCGGGGCCGCCACACTGAGCCCCATTCATTCTCCCCGGGATCCGGCAACTGCCCTGGCGCCTGGGCCAACAGCAGGGCCCCCAGCGCTGACAAGGCACCTCCACCACACAATACAGCCTCGCTGTGTCCCGGACTCCCGGGTCGCACGCCGTGTGCCTGCCTCTGGGGTTTCCTGGCCTGAACCACCCCCATCCCTCACTGACAACTGCCAGGGTTTGCCGAGGCCACAGTGTACATTTGCTCTTTTCGTCCTCCCAACAGTCCCAGGAAGTGGGGGCTACTGTGACCCATTTCACGGATAAGGAAACTGAGACCCAGAGCAGTAAAGTCGCATGAAAGATCACACAGTAAGTTGGGAGTGGGCCTGGCCAGGAAGCCAGCACTGGCCGATGCCACAGCCTCAGCAGTTAGACCGTCACTGGGACTGCCTCCCGGGAGAGATGCCAGGGACTCATTAGGAAGACCCCCAGCTACACCAGGCCACAGGCCCCTCTCCCTCTTCTAACAGCACTCCCGAGATGGGCGGAGCACCAGCCTGGGGGCGAGGGGGCCCGGATAACTGTCTAGTTTCTGCTCCTCTTCGGCCTCAGTTTCCTCATCTGTGAAATGAGCCAGTACCAGCATTTGCCTCTATTAGAAGGATTCGATAGGCAATCTGTGGAGGCTTCTGGCTCTGTGCCTCATAGTGAATGCTCAGTAGAAAGAACTGGAATTGTACCCCCCTTATTTCTTCAAAGTCCATGGCCCAGAAACCCCCTCTTTTCATTTGAACTTTGAACACCGGTCCCGGTCTGTCTGTGAGCAGGACCCTAGTGCCTTGGTCTCATGGGCTGTGTCCCTTTCCCTCTCAAGACCTCAGGCTCCCCCTCATCCCATTGAGGAGGTTCAGCCAGAACCTTCTCCCACCCAGGACCATCATCCAGCTGCCAGGGGCATGGAAGTGAGGACCACAGCTGGATAAGCAGATTCCAACCCTAGATAATTTGTCTTATTCACATATATAGAATGGGGAAAAAAGTAACATTTACCTCTTAAGACAGAAGGACTAAGCCCTGTGGCTGGAACATACTAAATGATAAGAAGACATTAGTCATCATTTTTATGGAGTACGCAGGAAGGGCCCTATTTGACCTAGGACTCCCTGTCTCACAGCCCTAGTTGCCAGCCCCAGGGGCCAGGATAATGTCAAACCACGCTGGAGCCTCTGTGGGTTGACTGAGTACCAAGTACCACACTGTGCCCCTTCCAGAGATTAGGTGACTGAGACTTCAGAGGCTCTAGTAACTCATCTGCAGCACACAGAGGTAGAATTTAAACCCCTGGTTTTATGACCCCTCCCAACCACAGCAGCTGTTGACAGTCCTCACAGGTGTCTCGGACAACCTGTATAAAAGAGGTTTCATTTCCTCATCTCTGTCCTGCCCTTGTGAGCGTATACACACACATGCATACATATATACACACACAGATTGGCAGGTAGGCTATGAGCTAAGGGACTTGGAAGGGCAAGTTATAACTCAGTCTGTGCCACCAACCTGCTGTATGACCTGGGACAATCCCTCTGCCTATATGTGCCTCAGTTCCCCATCTCTGTACAGTGGTAGACCAAATTATCGCCATGTCCCTGGTAGCTTGAAAAGGACTGACTGTGCCTTGGTGGATGCCAATTTTGTACCAGGCTTTGCACTAAGCACTGGACACTGTGAATTGGACATTGCAAACGTCCAATTCACAGAGAGGAAACGGGCTCGAGGAGGTGAGTGCCCTGGCCTAGGATCACATGGTAACAAAGTGGCCAGCCAGGACTTGAACTTGGGTCTGGGTGGTCCCAGAGGCCACAGGCCTAAGCACAGTACTCTTTCATTCACTGCTGCCAGTCCATCCCCAGGCAGGCTGAGAATAAACTGCCCTGTGCTCGGACCTGACTCCCCACACACGCCCAGCCCAATGGCCAGACCCCCTGACAGTGGTTGGCAGGTCCCCAGCAGCCCCTGGCCCAGTGGGCTCCGTTCCCAGAGCCTGTGGTTTGTTCCCCAGACCTTCTAGGTCCCATGGGTTTGTGGTCTGCCCCCTGTCCCCCTCCCCATTGCTGCCAAGGCCAAGGAGGAGGCCCAGGGAGGGCCCCCTCCAGCCCCGGAACTGGGGGAGGCCCCAGCCCCCGCCCCTGCAGAGAGGATGGGGAGGGTGGGGCTGTGGGAGTTTCACTGGTTTAAAAATACACAGAGGAAGCAAGTGAGAGGGTGCGAGAAAGGGGAAGGGGAGGTGAGAGAAGCACCTCAACATTCAAGTCCAGAGCCTTGAGACGCCACTTTCCTGCAGGCCAAGGGCTTTGCACCACTTGCCAAGATGACGGAGGGGCCCAAGAAGGCCAGCAAAAAGTTCAGTGAGTGCATGGCCCTTCATCCCGCTGTCTGTCCATCTCAGGCTCTCTGCTTCTTCATAACTGTCTTGTTTCTGTTTCTCTTTCTGTCTATGTCTATCTCTCTCTGGAGATCTCTGCTTCTGGGTTTCCATGTCACCATCTCTCTGTCACTCTGGCCCCAGTATCTTTCTCTCTCCCTGGCTGGTTTGGCTCCCCCTCTCTGTTGTTTCTGTCTCGGTCCACCCTGACTCATTCTCTCCGTTGGTCTGCACATCCTGGTCCCTGGCTCTCTTTGACCTACCCTACGGCTGGGCTGGGAAAGACACCCCCCCGACACCCTGTCCCCTGCCTCTGGGCCTGGTTCCATAGGGTCTCAGGTCAGGCAGCGTTGCTAGGGTGGGGTGGGGTGTGTGCGTGCCATGCGATGCTGTCTTATATCCTCAACAGCAGTGACACTGGGACCCAGAGCAACTTAATGAAGGGCCACACCCACCTATTGTTGTTTCCCCAGGTCAATCCCCTCCTGGTCCCAGAAATCTGCTCCCCCTGGTTCCTTCTATCTCTCTGTGTGTGTGTGTGTGTGTGTGTGTGTGTGTGTGTGTGTGTGTGTGTGTACAGTGTAAGGATTATGACTATATTCCACGGCTGAAAAGACTGAGGCCTAGAGAATTGCATGAGATCATAAGGGGCTCAATGTCATGTTCCTGACTTGGCCTCAGTTTCCCTCCCTGCCCCACTACTGTTTCCTCCAGACCCTCGGTGTCCGGGACGCGAAATAAGTCGTGCTGAGACAGGAGGCAGTTTGTGGTCCTCCCTCTGGCTGTTGGCACAATTTCTGCCCCATGGAATAGCTTTCTGAGAGCAGAGTGACAGACTTTTCTGACAATGTGAATCAAGAAGCAGAAGCTAAGACCAAGTGAGGGCTGGGCAGGGCTGGGAGGAAAGCCCCAGAGCACTGACCCAGCAGTCCAGAGCCCTGGACCCTCATCCAGGCTCAGCCTTGCTGTGTGACCCTGGGCAGGTTCCTTCCCCTCTCTGGGCCTCAGTTTCCTCTCTTGTCAAATGGGGGCATCCTACCTATATTCTGGCATGTTTATGAGGAGGAAGCAGAGGATGCCAAGGAAGTTGAAAATGCCAGAGATTTTCCCTTTTTGCTCATCTGGAAGCATAGAGAAGTCCGATGGTGGTGGCTGTGAGGAGGAGGGGCAATCCCACTGCTGGGGACAGGAAGGAGAGAATTCACATGCACCCCTGCGGAAATGTGGAGATGGTATCACCCGAGCACTGTCGCCTGAGTTGGGACCGTGGGCTCAGCTGACAGGAAAGAAAGAACCGCAGGGAGTGGGACCCTCAGGCTCCTGACAACCCCCTTTTCATTTCGTCCTCTGCCCCAGGTGCTCAAATGCCCCTTCCTGCCCCCACATACACATACACACACGCGCACGCACGCATGCAGTTTTTCCTGCTGGCTGTGTGACCTTAGTGGTTCATTTCACATTTCTGAACCTCAATTTCCTCATCTGGAGGATGGGGGATTAAACTTGCATCACTGAGTTGTGCTGAGAATTCAGCGAGATGATGCATGCAGCATGTTTAACAAATGCACGGGTGTGATTGTAATCGTCATCATCATCATCAGCTTCATTACTTCTTGAGAAAATCCTGTGTACTGGGCACCATGTTAAGAATATTATTTACATGCTTTTCTTCAATTCTCTCACTGCCCATTGGCGGTGGGTACTATAATCTATTTTAATGATGTGGCGAATGGGGCTCAGAGAGGTTGAGTGACTTGCCTAAGGTTGCACAGCTAGGATGTGGAAGAGCAGGGATTCAAGTCCGGGGCCACATGACTCCAAAGCTGCCAAGTTATACCATAGTAATTAGAGGGAGTGCCAGTGAGGCCGGACCCTCCACAAACCCTCGATGAGTCAAACAGCATGTGTTTTTTATTGTTACTGCTGCTGGCATTGGCATTAACTCTTTTCCCTCCTCCCCTGCCAGAGTTCTTCAAGTTCAAGGGCCTTGGGAGTCTCTCCAACCTCCATCGGTCCTTCACTCTGAGACGGTCCTCAGCCCCCGTCAGTATCCGTTCCTACCTAAAACCTGAAACATTTGAGGCCACACAGGATGACATGGTGACAGTCCCCAAGAGCCCCCTGGCCTATGCTCGCTCCAGTGACATGTACAGTCACATGGGCACCATGCCTCGCCCCAGCATCAAGAAGACTCGGGGACAACAGGCTGCCCAGGAGGCCCGGGAGGTGGGCCCTGAGCCCCATTTGGTGCCCCGAGGTCTGCCCGACCCCCCAAGCTTGGAGGCAGCCGAGGAAGTGGTGGTGGGGACTGAAACGCCCCTGGAGAACACCTCGGCAGTGGGACCCAACCCTTCTGCAGTGGAGGTGGACCCCATGAGAAAGCCTGAAGACCCCAGGGCAGACACAGAAGAGGAGACAGCCCCCGGGAATGTGCCCCCAGAAAGGTAGGTGCCCACCAGGAGAGTGTGAGGGCGGGACCTGGAGGGGTGGTGTCTCTAGTCTCCTGCCAGTGGCAACTGGAGAGGTTCCCCCAACACACCCATGTGGGTAAACCAACTAACAAACAAACACACTTAAACCAAGTGCTTACTGTAGACCAGGCACTGCGCTCAGCCCTTCACTTGCAATTAATTTTCAAGGAAAAAAACAAACAAAACAGTCACTTAACTTGGTTTTAGAGTATGTTGAGAATTTGCATACAAAAATTCAAATAGTGATGATATGGTCATAGCTCCCGTTTAGCAAATACCTGTTTTACTGGGCGTCGAAACAAATGTTACTTGCTGAAAATTCTGTAAAAGAATCTATGATTAGCCCCCTTTTACAGATGGGGAAACTGAGATTCAGCCAAGGTCTCTGAGCTGTAATTTGAACAGGAAACTGCTTGCCTCCAATGGCTATATACTCATTCACCCCACTGTACCCACACCTAAGCCCTACAGCCGTGTACTTCATGCCCTTGGGAGACACCTCAACCCCGACCAAAGAAGCCTTTTCAACCCTCAGAGCCTTTGTGTAAACCACACTGATCAGATGTGCCTATTGAAATAAAGAGAACAAAATCAGCAGAGAAAAAGTAATTCGAAGGCTGGTTCTGGGACCTTTCTTGACTGGATCTGCCCTGTGCTGAGGTAATTAATCCTAGACGATTCACCCTTCAACGGGCAGCAAGACCTTGTAAAGCTGCAGAGTGAATCCAGTGCAGAACTCTGCTTCTTACTGACTGCTTGCTCTTGGACAAGTCTGTTCCCTTCTCTCAACCTTAGTTTCTTGATCTGATAAATGGGCATAACTATAGCACCAACCTCGTACGGTTGTGGTGAGAAGTCAAGGATAACATACTTATAAAATCTTAGCACAGTGCTTGGCACACGACAAACGTTCAGTAAATCGGAAAGTTTATCTTTATGATTAATAAAATTTATGCTTTACACCATCCCTCACTGCCTCACCATCCGGGACGCCCTGCCATCCCCTCCTAAATTCGGCCTCATTCGGGTGTGGAAGAGCAAGGATTGTAAGTAGGGAAGAGGGCCTGATAGGTCCTGGGGCGTTCTGAGGCACCCCAAAGTCTGAGTGTGAAAGAACTGGACCCGTCGGAGTGGAGGGGCGTGGTCTTTCCAGGAGGCACCCGAGACTGTTGGGGAAGCTGGCGTGGGGAGCAGGGCGGGGCAAGGAGGAGGTGGTGAGCATGGGGGCGTGGTTTTCTTGGCCCTTGGACACAGATTGGGAGAAGGCAGAGTGAGCTCGGTGGAGGGCGTGTCTGAGGCCGGGCGTGTTCTTCCTAGTGGGTGGGGCGGCGCCCAGCAGAGGGCGGAGGGGCGTGCCCTGGGCGTGGCTTACACATTAGGCTCCGCCCCTGGAGTCCTGCTTTGAGCTCCGCAGTTCTGTGGTCTGAGAAAAGCGGGAGCCGTTGGGTTGAGGAGGTCGCCAGGCTGCAGGCGGTGACCGCGGGGAACGATGACTGCAGTGGGTCGAAGGTGCCCAGCACTGACACCCAGAGGGTGAGTGACCGAGCTGGGCCCGGGGAGGACCTGCGGAGACCGTACTGACCTGAGCGAGAAATCCATTCCCCTGAGGCAACTGACAAACTGGGGTCTGATTTAGCATAAGGGTCTTTTAAGATTTCTTTTGGTGTAACTCTGTCCCGGTCTGTCCGGGCGCAGGTTTATTCCTCACAATAGGCCCAGAAGAGAGCCACTATTATCATTCCCACTTTATAGATGAGGAAAGAGATTTGCTTGCCTGATTTGACACAGTAGAAAAGATCAGAACCAGGGTTTAACTCTACCTTCCTGGCCCATGCCCTTAAAGGCTGGGCAACTCATTCCCCTCCAGCAGGGCCAGGGCCTCTGAGAAGGATGGTCTTGAGACGCTGCAAGAATGCCAAGTCTAGGACCTAGCCTTCCTCCCCCCTGGGCAAGGGCCCACGGTGGTCCTGGCAGTGCCTCTGGCATCAGATGTGGCCTAAAGCTGTTGGAGGAAATAGACTCTTCCCCTAATCCTCCGTTATCTAGAGTGTCCAGGGGTCCTGAGGCAGTAGGTTTGCAGGTCAGATTGAGGCCCCTCCTGGTGCCCTGGGACCCAGTGTCCCACCTGCCCTCCAGGCCAAGTAGGAGACCAGGAGTTGTTGAATGCTTCCAGGAGCCCCTGAAGCCCAGCCTTGTGCCCCGGAGTCAGGAAATCTGCTTTGCCTGTGTGAGATCAGGCTTGTCCTGCCCGACTCTGGGCCTCAATCTCCCCAGCAGCCCAGATGGGTCTAGGATAATGTCTTAGGATCCACCCAGCTTAAGGAGGAGGGCATTTGAGAACTGTCACTGAGCCAGACTTGGTGCCTCATTCCCAAGGGGTTGCCAGGGGGTGGTTCCAGTGGCCGCTCAGGGAGCAGCCTAAGCTGATTGTCCCTCCACTGCTCCCTGGGAGGCAGGGTGCACCTGGAGCAGAAGGAAGGAAGGGGAAGAGGTGAGGCTGCAGGAGTTTCCTGGTGCCCCGTGGCCTGCTGAGATCATGGGGATGAGGAGGAAGGAGGGAGGAGGAGCCAACTGCACAGAGAATGAAAGGAGAGCACCAGCCTAGCCTGCCACTGTCCCCCAGCACCCTCGGCCTTCTGGAGGGACATAGCCGGTCCAGAGACCCCTGACACCCTTTCTTCTCAGTCCATGTCACAGAAAAGAAAACAGAGGCTCAGAGAGGGAAGGGAGGCTCCCAACCCCTCACGCGCCCCCCGACAGCCATACCCATACGGGAATTGTCAGGCCATGGTCCTGCCAGAAGTGATCGAGATCTGCTCACAAGGAGCCAGCCCGTCTGGAGCTCCCAATGGGCACTGTCTACCACATGGGCCCTGTGAGGGGCAAGCCCCCATTTGCTCCAGTGAGAAGACTGGAGGTTCAGAGAGGGGAAGGGAACTTCCTGGGGTCACAGAGAGATGAAGTGTCAGAGCCTAGATTTAACCCCAGACCTGGCCAACTCCCAAGGACAAGCTCTTAACCATTTAGGCCGCATTTCACTTCTTGCAAGCAAAACACTCAAAGCCGTTTCTACCATTATTTCAAATGACTTCCCATGACACCCTGGAGAGGTATTAGGAGTCCAGTTTATAGATGAAGAGATTGAGGTTTTGTTATTTATTTATATATTTGTTTGTTCGTTTGTTTGTTTATTATTTATTTTTAGGCAAGGCAACCATCGGTTGCCCTCATGGATTGCAAGGATTGTCAGCTTACAATCCTTTCTTTTTTATTTTTTTATGCCTATAGCACCTGGTCTTTCTAGGTAGTCTCCCATCTAAGTATTAACCAGGCCCAACCCAGCTTAGCTTCCGAGATCAGAGAGATTGAGGTTTTGTGAGGTTAATAACTTTCATGAGATCACACAGTCGAGCTGGAATTTTAGTAATTTTAATCTTGGCCGAGATGGAAACAGCAGTGAGCACAAGGGACAAAGCCCTGCTCTCATGGAGCCCCCGTTCCAGTGTGGAGAAGAGAGATGAACAAGATGTGGTCAGCTAGAAGAGAAAAGCACCATGAAAAAAAGATTTAAATCAAGTGGGGGACTTGGTCTCAGGTGGGAGTGGCTGGTGGTGACAATTTAGGAAGGCTAGCCAGGAAAAAAGTCTCGGTGAGAAACTGATGTTCGAACAAAGAAGACGAGGGAACAACCCCTCTTGCTATCTGGGGGAGAGTGTACCAGGCCAAGGGAACAGCATGTACAAAGGTCCTGAGGTGGGAACGTCGGTGGTGTGTATGAGGAGTAGCGGAGACTTGAGTGGCTGGAGTAGAGCAAGATGGCGGTCTGGGGAGAGAGGAGTGGTGGGAGACAGGAAATGGGTTCGTATAATGCAAGGCCTGGAAGGCCCGGCAAGGACCTGGCTTTGACTCTGAGCAGCCATTACTGGCCCTGAGCAGAGGAGGGCCCCACTGTGACTTATGTTTTACAAGGACCTCTCCTTTGAGGAGGATTTGAACACAGTTCTTATTTTAAAGTATGTCACCCAAGCATCCTTAGAGACCCACGCCCCTCCACTCCCACCCCTGGAGCTGTTCAAGAGGAAATTGAGACTTGGAGAAGGTGGTACTCCATTGGAGAGCCAGGGGCACCCTGGGTTGCCTGTGCCCCAGCCCTGGAGCCGGGCACTGAGAACAAGCCAAGACACCCCCCCCCTTTTCCTTCTGGAATGTTGATTCTGGTCCAAGAATTCCCAGCGCTCCCCAGAGTCCCACGACCCTCTCAGCCCTGCAGAGTGACGTCAGCTGCCGGGCATCTGGTAGTGATTACCTACCGGGGGAGGGGGCTGTGGTGGGCCCAGCCCGTCCAGCCTCCTCAGGCTCTGGGCGGCTGGTCCTTGTCTTCTGAAGGGGCCCAGCTGCTCCTGGCTCTCATTTCCTGTGGAGACTTTCTCACAGTCCTTGAGACCCCTGGACGCCTCAGGCTGTGGGAACTGTGCTGGCTTGGGAAAGATGGACTGCCCCTGCCTCCAACTGGAGCCACATCCCCCCAAACCCTCAGGGGACCCTATTTGCAGCATACTGGACCTATGTGGGGTGCAGGCTGGGAAGGACAGGAGTCAGATATATCAGCAGCTCAGAGGCCCACTGATTGTACAACCTTGAACAACTCCGTTCCCCTCCTTGAGCCTCAGTGTCCCCATCTGGGAATTGGGGAGAATAACACTATCTGCTTCACAGGGTCATTGTGGATGGGATGCAGCATTTTCCTGGGCTTGACTCAAGGAAGTACCAGTACACAGAAGCCGCTCGCGCTACCACCATACCCATGTTATAGAAGAGGAAGCTGAGGCGCAATGAGGGGGACTTGGCCAGGGTCACACAGCTTCCTCCCTCCCAGCTGTCTTCTCTCTGTCAATCCCCATTCCATTTCCTTTTCCTGACATCAGTTCTGGGCTCCTGCTCTGGTTGAAATGTTATTTTTCTTTGCCATCCCCTCCCCACCTTCTTCCCCTCTTCACCCCAAAGTGTCTCCGTTTTCCAGGGGAGACGGCTTCATGCAAGAAACAGAGCAGGGCCAACCCAGGTCTAGTCTACAGCCGTGTGTCCTGGGTCAAGTCGCAAGCTTTGGTTTTCTCCTCTGTAACGTGGGGAGATCCCAGACTTTCAGTCAGCACTCAACATGCCTTCCGGTTTGCTCTCCTCCAGCAGGTTTTGAGTCTCAGGTAGCAGATCTCAGAACTCGGCATCCTCAGCTCTGCCCCAGGGAGAATGGCCTCGATCTACTCTCTCCTCACAGGGCTGGCACCCTTTCTGAGCTCCTGCTGGGGAGCTCACCCCTGTCAAGAAGACCGAGGGCGCAGAATGGTGGAAAAGGAGCCACGATGTCTCCAGGACAGTGGCGGGCCACCTTAGAGGCGGTGGGCAGGGCCAGGCTAAAGCCAAGAGTCTTCCTGTCAGGAAATCCCAAAGGCCCATGGTGCCCCCAGAGAGATGGGACTTTCTGCCCCAGATCTCCCTCTGTCCAAGGCCCTTAAGGACTAAGGAGCACAGAGCAGTGTTGCTTCCGTGCCGGGGGTAAGTGCAGGTCAGAGTAAAGGTAGGAAAGAATCTTCAGCCCTCTAGGAGGGCCAGGAAGGGAGCTCTCCAGGGTGGGGGTGGAGCAGAGAGAGGAGCCATGTGGGCAAGGGAACCTCCCACCCTTCCTTCTCATAGGATCTTCCTGGACCCTCTGGAAGAGTTATAATGTGCTCATTTCACAGATGAGGAAGTTGAACCCAAGAGAGGGGAAGGCGAGGGGAAAGTTGAGAAGCAGGAGTCAGAGGTTGGGCAAGTCTCCGCTCAAGGCTATATGACTAGGTCTCAAGGCCAAAGGGAACAAACTGGGGGACAGATAAAGGGCAGTAGGCCAGGGTGGACAGAATGGTGGCCTCTCTCCACCGCCTCTCTTCTAGGGTCCCCGAGAAGCCTCACCTTTTCTTCTGGGCTAGTACGGAAGCCCTGAAGGTGAAGCTCAGATTTAAACCTGCACCAGGGAAAGAAAAGATAATGGGCTCTAATTACTGCTCATTAATCTAATTAATTAAGCTAATATATGCAATGAGCGGTATCAGTTATCAGAACAAATTAGTTAACATGGGCAATTAAAGGGGTTGCTTATTGAAATAATGTGGTTGATTAATGGGACTGATTTAGCTCAATTGTCACTATTTTTTATTAATTGGTTTCACCACTAATATTAGAGAGGATGTGCCTTTTAAGTCCATAAAATAAGAATAAATGAACTAAATGGAGCCGAGGTTTTAGAAATGATTCCTGGATTTGATCATTACAAAAGGAGGGAGAACGTTCTAGAAATCTCCAAGGCAAACTGAGATCTGAAGTCAAAGTTGGAATTACTCTGTGGCTCTTAGGGGAAGAGGAGGGTCCAGGCAGAGGGAACATCATGTGCAAAGGCCCCGAGGTTGGAGGGAGCTACACTCTTTGGAGGAAGTGCGGGGTGGCCGGAGGGCAGGAAAGAGTTAGGAGAGAGGAGGAATGGCGGGCAGAGGCCCGGCCACAGAAGGCTGAGCCACCATGAGGACTAGTCTTTATCCTCAGGGTTTGCAGGGGCTGGTGTGACATTCATTCATTCAAAAACATCTGCCTGGCACTGCTCTAGGCAGACCACAATCCCTGCCCTTGCGGAGCGGAGACGGTCAACGCTTGAGGTAGGATACGTGGTGAGTCAGAGACCTACAGAGACAAAGGGCAGGGAAGGGAGATGGAGCGCCTTGAGAAGGTCAGACTTTTAGGTGGGTGGCAGGGAAGTCCTCACTGAGAAGGGGACATTGTAGTAGAGACTTGAAAGGGGGAAGGGAGGAGGCTCGGTGGGTATTTGGAGGGAAGGTATTCCAGCAGAGGGAACAGAAAGTTCCCTCTGCAAAGGCCCCAAGGTGGGGACAAAAGCCAGCAGGAAGCCCAGCTTCGGCTGGAGCAGTGTGGTCAGACTTGAGGTGGGAGAGGTGGTGAGGCTGTGAAGGCTGTTATGAGAACTTTGACTTTTACTCTGAGTGAAACTGGGGCCACTTCAGTGGGTTAGAGCAGAGAGAAGCCATGATCTAACTTTCATTTTAACAGGCCTGCTTGGGCTGCTGAGGTAAGAACAGGCCAATAACAAGGTGGTGGCCATAGTCCGGGCAAGAGATGGCAGTCAGTGTCAGCAGACATGGTCACCTTATGTCTTGGAGATCCTGCAGTATTGTAGGTCAGGGGCAGGCAATGGGGGCTGAGTGCTTCGCAGACCCTCGGCTTCCCCGGCCTCTGCCCCGAGCACCCACATTGGCCCTGGCCACCCCATCTTACCTGATCCCTGGTGCCGCCATCCCCTCCCCAAGGCTCTGCTTCCACCCGGAGCCCTAGGGGAAGTGGACAGGAAGCAGGAGGAAATGCTGGGGCAATCCCAGTGTCCTGGCCAATCTGTTCCCAGCAGTGGAAGGATTTCCGGGCCTGAATGGCCGGAAATGCTGGGATGGGACACCTCACCCGGGAAGAATGGTGGGGGCGAGCAGGACAGGGGTCCCTACTCCACTTCGCTCCCACTGCTGGACACAGAGAGCCCGAGCTGCTTTGGAAGCCTGCTGCGGCCGAGCTGCAGCTTGAGGGTTTGTAGTTAGAAGTCAGGAAGGACCTTGAAGGAGGGAAGGTTAGCAACAGGGACTCCAGAATGTCACCACAGAGAGGGCCGTCAGATTGCTTCTCCAAGAGGATCCCCTGGCCTCAGGAGCTGGGGAGACCCAGTACGAAATTCTGGCCTGGAAACACACACCTTGATCACAATTCCTGTTGTCGTTACTGTTGTTTTTAGCTCAGCTTTTTTTTTATTTGTCTGGTTTAAGTTTATTTTATTAAATTTATTACATTTAAATTTAAACATTGCACTTCTGTATGTGAGGGAGCAGTTCCCCAATGTTCGACCTCCCTCCCTGTTTTGCAGATGGGGATATTGAGTCTTGTCCCAGACAGAGAGTCAGGGCCCAGCCTGACAGAATTAATAATAATGAGAGGGATTAACATTGGTCAAGTGCTTACTATTCATGCACTCGTTTAAGCAATAAATATTTCTTGAGCTCCTACTGGGTGCCAGGCACCGTGCTGGATTAGATAAAGTCGGTGCCCTTGTGGAGGTGTCAGGCAATTATTTGTCATAGATACATGTCAAGTGATTATTTCGGGCAAGGATTGATGCATGTGAAGAAAATAAAGCAGGGCAGAAGGAATAGGAAGTGCAAAGGACATGTGACAAGAATGAGCTTGGCATGAGGCCAGTGTGGCTGGGGCAGAACAAGGGTCAGAGTGAGTGAGGGAGGCATGGAGCGGTTGGCGAGGCGGGCAGTTGGGTACCACCAGGCCATGCAGGGCCCTATAGACTGAGGAACATATAACCCGGTTTACGCCAATTTTTCTGGCGTAATAATGGCACCCTCTTTACTCTCACAAGGGAAGAAGCATTCTGGTTGGATGATGTGACATGGCCAGCCATCTGCATGCAGGCCATGGAGAGGGGTTTCGATCTTGTTCTCCGGGAGACGGGAGGGCGGGGGTGGGAGGTGTGCGCCCGGTCTGCTTAAGTTTTCACCTTAGTGCCGTTTGCTGGTGCAGTGGTAGTTGACCAGGGGGTGAGAGCAAGCCACTGAGAAGGCTGCCGTGTGGTCCGCGGAGACACAGACGGGGGCCCATGCGGGGCAGAGTTGACACGTGGAGAGAAGTGGTCAGAATCTGTTTCGAAAGTAGAGCCGCAGGATTTCCTGAGGGATTGGGTGTGGAGCGTGAGCGAGAGAGGAGGCACAGATGATCGCAGGTTCTTGGCCAAACGAAGCAACGAGAAGGATGAAACTGACATTAACTGAGATGGGAAGTGGGTGTCTGGAGCAGGGCCATGGTGGGGGAGGACCCAGCAGTCCTGCTTTGAATATGACAAGTTCAAGATGACTTCAGACACCCAGGAGGAGATGACAAGGACGCAGTTCGGTTTATGAGACTGGTGCTGAAGGGGCAGGTCCAGGCTACATCAGAGGAGGGATGGATGGCTTTAAACACCTAGGACTGGGAGAAGTGACTCATGGTGGCCCGCGTGAGGAAGGGTGATATTTATTTGGCACCTAGGAAAAACAGCCACCCTGGCCCCTGGCCTCTGGCCTCTTCAGGCCACATGCCAGCCACCCTGAAGGAGGGGGGGATAAATTCTACAGCCAACTGTCACCAGCAGTGGCACCACGGTGTGCCAGGCGGCCGCTGAGTGGGTGACTCTGTACTAGAGAATGAGTGTAGGGCGGGAGGAGAAGAGGCTGAGCCCTGGCCTGGGGCCTCCAACTACTCAAGTCAGAGAGAGGTGGGGAGAGCACCAGGAGGGCGCAGTGCCCTGTAGCCGGGTGGAGACAGTGATTCAGGAAGCAGGCCCGTGTTAACATGCAGCATTCATCAGCTTCTTGAGTCTTCACAACAACCTCAGGAGGCAGAGGCTGTCATTGTCCCCGATAAAAAAACCCAGGCTCAGGGAGGTAAAGGGACTTGCCCAGGGTCTCGCAGCTGGAGAGTGTAGAAGCAGCGCAGCCCTCAGATTCCCGCAAGCTCTCTCAGCTGCAGTGTCCCCTCTCGCTTTCAGGATGAGCCCTCTGGGGCCCAGAGGGCCAGGTGCTGGCACCAGGCAGGTGGGTAGAGGCTGGTAGCTGGGGCGCCGGACAGAACTGGGGATACTTACCTCTCTTCTCTCTTTCCAGGGCTGCTGGAGAGCTGGAGGCTGGTGGCGACTATGTGAAGGTAAGGGACCAGGCAGGGAGACACGGGGGCAGGGTGCTCAGAGTTTGTTTCACGAACAAGAGGGCAGAATCCTCTTCTGAGCCTAGTTAGGAGCCAGATCTCACTGTCTGCCCCCAGGAGGAGAGGGTTTGGGGTGAGGACGGCGCTTGGGGTCTGCTTTCACTCCCAGCATCTTCTTCCCGTGCCTTCCACCATTCTCTCCTGGCCCTACACTCCGGACGTCCCGAGGCTTGTTACCAGCAGATCCTACCCCCGTGCCAGCTGGACAGGGCCCAAGGGTGTCTCTATGCAAGGACCATGGCGCTCTGATTGCACCCAGCCTCTGCGCATGGGCTGGTGCTAGGAGGTGGGGGCAAAAAAGAATGACTCAGTTCATCACAGATAATGGGCGCAGCTCACATGTATCACAAGTCTAATTTGTTCTGGGTGCTGGGAATGTCGAAAATGCAGTTTCGAAATTACGATGATGATAATAATAATACGACGTAACACTTTGAGTTCCTATGGTGCGTGAAGCCCTGTGCTAGGACTGGAAGGGAGACAGTTTTGAGCTTTTTACGTGAATGAGGTCTTCGACTTCTTCCCTCAAGACGGGGCAGCAAAGGCCTTCTTATGCCCACTTACAGATGGGAAACTTGAGGCTCAGAGAAGTGCAGTGACTTGCTCATAGCCACGCGGCTACTACAGGGGGAACTGTGATTGCAGTCCAAGTTTCCTTGATGCCAAGACCATGGACACAGCCCTTGGCCTTTTACCTCCAAGAGCACGCACCCTGAGCCAGGCCCCCTGCTGAGTACGGAACATACAGCAGAGGGTGAGGAGCAGCAGGCCCTGTGTTCAAGGGCTCCTGGTCCAAGTAGGGGCCAGGGCAGAATCGCCAGTGGTCTAGCTTCGTGTTTCGTAATCTAGCAGGTTCTAATTTTAGCCCCAGATCTGCCACTATTTGCCACATGACTTGGGGGGGGGGTATGTGTGTCATCTCTCTGAGCCTCAGTGTTCACCTATGTGAAATGGGGTAGCAGCAGCACCTCCAACCCAGGGTTGCTATGTGCTCAATGAACTCATGCTCAATGAATCCAGGGAGAGCTGGGTCTGGAACAGAGCAGGACGGCCTGGCTCCAGACCCCAAAGACATTCGAACACCCGAGATGCTGCGTGTAAAGTTCTGTGTAAGTGACTAATAATGAGGCAGTATGAGAAGTGCTCAGATTGCTGTCCCCCATCACCAGAAGGCTCATGTAAAAAGCCATTGGAGCTTTAGAAGTAGAGGATGACTTTCAGCTCAGGAGCTGGGGAGGGGAAGATCAAGGAAGGCTTTCTGGAGGAGGAGGCACTGAATCCAAGCCATTGCAGTTGCCCAGGAGCATTCCCTCCCCCAACAAAAAGCTGGAAAGGAGACAAAGATAAAGCAGAGATGGGCAGTAAAGTGGTCCAGGCAGGGGCAAGAGTGTGAGCGAGGTCAGAAAGCAAGCTGGGTGAGCCCAGGAAGTGCAGTCCAGGGCTGCGGTGAGCTGAGCAGGAGCTACTCCTGGAACCTGGGCCCTGGCTTCTCATCCAGAGCTTCATACCACAGGAGGAAAGAGGCTTCGGGGAGAACCAACGCCAGAGCCAATGGGGAGAACACACGGGGGGCATATTTCAGCACCCCACTAATCCCAGCTGTCTGGCAAGGCAATGAGATCCCCATCACTGATGATGTGAGACCCCTGTGAGGATTATTAGCTTTGTATTTTTCCTTTAGTTTATGGGGCTAAAAATGTAATTAAAAATATTATAAAAGAAATAATACCCGCTCACTGGAACTGATTGAGAAATCACCTAAAGGATGAAGTCAAAGGAATGTTAGTTTTAGCTTCAAGCCTCAGATGAGGGTGGAATCAATAGTCAACTTTCTAAAAGTTCATTCCTGCCCTAAGGTACTCAGCTTCCAGAATTCCAGGATTCTGAGACCATGATATGAATACTTTCATTCTAAGGCAAGAATTCTAAAGTTCCAAGGCCATAAATTCCGAGCTCCATGCTCAGAGCTTCAGAAGTGTTTACAGAAAACAACCAAACATACAGCTAGGATCCAGAGAGGTGGACTCACCTGCTTTACGTCACACAGTCTGTCAAAAAGATTTGAACCCCAGGCCTGACTGATGCAGAGTCAGCACTGACTCCGTTTGCATTGGAAAGCCTATGATTCGAGCACAAAAAGTCCAGATTCTAAGACACTAAGCTTGACGATCGTAACACGCATTTCTTGGACACTTACTTTATGCCTGGCAACTTATATGCATCAGCTCAGCCAATGCTCACAAGACTTCCGCGAGGTCAGCACAAGTATGTTTTCTAGATGACATCTGGGCTCCCACAGAAGGGGCTGGTGGGGTGGAGGTGGAGACACCGCTATCAAACCCATGCTGGTGCCCTAACCACTAGCTCACTGGCACTCCGCACCCCAGAGGTGCTCAGTCGAATAGCCCGCGATTCTCCGCAGAGTCCCTGATTCCAATTCAGAGATGAGAAATCCTGGGCTCTGGGAGATTTCCTGAGGCCACAAAGGATTTCGGCAAACGCATACAGGGATTTTTCCAGCTTTAGATAGGATTTAATTCAAAGTCTCTGCCCGCTCCGGGTCAGTGAGGGGTGCGGCGAGTGAGAAAGGCAGGACTCCCCTCGCCGGCTCAGGGGTCCCCACCTCACCCCGCTGCCCGCTTTGGCAGTTCTTCTGCTCCGCATCTCCCTACTCCAAGGAGCCGGGGCGCGTGGGGCTGGAGCGCAGGGGGGCGGAGGCTGAGGGGAGGGCGGAGGGAGGAACAATGGCCCCCTCCTCTCCCCTGGCCGGCTGGAGGGTGGGGTCTCCCCGCCCCGCCTCCCCGCTCCTCCCCCGACAAGGCGATGAGGTAATCGCGCCGCCGAGAGGCACGCGCAGCCGGTGCCCAGCCCGGTCGGTCCCCGTGCCCCTGCCCCGCCGGTCGCCGCCCCCCGCACTGTCCTGGCCCCGGCCGCCCGGCCCCACCATGACCGAGCGCTGCAGCCTGTGGAGCGCCCTGTCAGCAGCCGCCTGCTGCTTCTACCGTGGCTCCTTCGTGCAGGTGCAGGTGAGGGGGTGGCACGGCCCCCGCCAGGCGCTCGGGGCTGGGACCCCCGGCCGCTCTGCCACGGGCCCAGGAGCTGGGAGCCGCAGCCCCGTGAGGCCGCGCAGGGTCTAGATGGGCAGGGGCTGCGGGCTGCGGGCTGCGGGAGGGGGCGGGGTCGCCCCAGCCTCACCTCTGGGCACCGGGCGCTCTTCAGGGTGAGGGTCCGGCTGCCACTCCCGGGACTCGGGACTCGGGGCTGCGGGGGCTGCCGTTCTGGTCCTGCCTTCTCCGCAGGAGGGAGCTGAGCTGGGGCTTTAGGTATCGGGAGATGGGGGTCCCCGGCGTCCTGCCGGACCTCGAGCGAGCTCTCCGGCTCCTGCGGCTGACCCGGGCAGCTTGGCTTCCCATTGTACCGGGAGCGCTGGGCTGGGGTCGAAGTCTGAGCGAGGGGTGGGAGGCAGAAATGCTGCTGCGGGTCCCGGGGGCTGGGGTCAGAGCGTCTGCTGCCCTCCTGTGCTCTAGGCTGACTGGGGCATGCTCTGGGCGCTGGTCTCTCAGCCCAGCTGGCGGGGCAGTGCCGGACGACGTGGTGCGGTGAAAGGGTTAAACGGAAGGAGGTGGAGGGGAGGACCCGGACCCCGCCTCTCTGCGGAGCATCATCTGGGGATGGCTTTGCTTGAGATTGCCAGACTAGAAAAACTAGCGAGGGCTTGCTGGGCTCAGGCTGGTGGGAAGGGGTTAAGATCCTGACCGGGGGTCTCCGTGCTTTTGCCTCCTGAGTCCCTGGGGGACGCCGGGCGCGTCACCTCTGCGCTCCCCTAAGCTCACACACACGCTCGGAGCCCGCCTGAATGACGGCCGCGCCGGCGGCGGAGCGCAGCATCCCCGCACCGGCCAATCAGGTGAACGCAGGCTGGGAGGCGGTGAGATCATCTCTGACCAATAGCAGAGCGCCGAGCGCAGGGATGCTGCAAAGCTCCAGCCCTACCCCTTCTCCCGCCCTCCCCGCCCCCCCGTGAGAGTGAGGAGGGCACAGGGACCCTAGGGTTCCTCACCCTCGGATGTGTGAGAAGACCAAGTTGCCCCCTGCCCCAGATTCTCCCAGACCATTGATTATGACTGGAAAAGTGAAGCCCCCTGTCCCACCCCCATTTACAGGTGAGGATACCCAGGTTCAGAGAGGGAAAGTGACTGACTCAAGGTCACACAGTGGCAGGCAGAGTCTTGAGACCAGATTCTTTACCACACAGCCCCCTCTCTTTCTTTGTCCCATATTCCTCCTGCTCTGGCTAGGGTATCGGGGCAAGTTCTCAACTGCATGCTCCTTGTCAAGGAGAAGGACCCTAGAGAGCTGGTGTCTTCTTTGGTCCTCGGGGCATGGTGTCATATAAGAGGAGGCCGGGGGTCCCGAAGAATATGCAACCCTGTGGAGAACTGCAGGTTTCTGTGCAGCCCTGGGCCTCCCCGCCTCTTCCCCCACACCCAGTCAATGGCTCCCTAAATGCCCTTCCCCCAGCCCTTATCCCTGTGTCCTACCCTGCCCTGCCCTGCCAGTGCCTGGAAAACACTAGATCACTCTCTACACAGCAGGTTGAACCTGCCTCCAACACTAAAAATCCTTCTGTGGCTCCGCTGTGGCCTCTGGGTAAACCCCAGCTCCCCAAGGCAGCATCACAACCTTGCCATCTGCCCCTGCCACCCCTGGCCTCTTTGAAGCTTCTCACCTCCCCCCACCCCACCCCCAGGGCTTTGGCTCTGCTGATAGGGCCCTGACTTTGCCACTCTCTTCCCAGAAGCTCTTCCCTGCCCATCTGCCTGCCTGTCTGTCCCCCATCCAATGCTTTTGCTTGGCTCATCCAGTCCCTCTTTGGGCTTCAGTGGAAACATCACCTCTTCAGGGACTCCACTCCCTGACTCGATGAGGAGGGACATTCTCAACTGCTCTCTGTGCATCTCGAACATTCAGAAACCCTAGAATTACTTGTCAGGGTCTGCGTGGCTCTCCCAGGGCAGAGGCCACCTGTCCTGATGACCTTGAGACCTCAGCCACTGGCACAAGACCTGTCCCAGAGTTGGGGCTTAATCGATGTTGAAATAATGGAGTCAAAGATTCTAGACATCTCTGAAGCCGAGAATCAGAGTGTCTTGGGAGAAGTATAGATTAAGGCACACCGAGGGGTGGAAAATGGAGGTGCAGAGTTAGGCTCTGAGATCTGTGGAGGGTCTGAGGAGGCAGGGAATGGATGGGGAGACCCTCAAACCCTTGTGAGTAGGGGGTCCTAAGGAAGAGACAGTCACCTGGACTGAAGCCAGGTCATTTAGTGCCCCCCTTCATCTGTCCTGCCATCTGACCAGATTGGGGGCAGATCTAGCTATCCTGGAGAAGCCATCTTTAGGGCTTAGAGTTGAGGGAAGGGTGAATAAACAATGTCACGTGCCCTCACAGTGACAAGGACATCTGTGGGCTAGTCATAGTACTCTGGAGTATTATCTCCTTTCATCCTTGCAACTTGGTGAGGCAGGTTTTATCATTGTACCCATTTTACAGAGGAAAAAAAACAAGGCTCAGAGAACTCACACGACACAGCCAGGATGGGGCTGGGCTCTGTGACGGGGCATACCTGGCAGTTGGGACTCCCCTCCGATTGCCCTTAGACCTCCAACCCCAGGCCACAAAACAAGAAAACCAGGAATGTTCCCCTTGGGCAGGTGAACACGGGGGGTCCTGGCCATTATCTCCACTGAGTGACTTCGGGCTTCCCTGTTGGGCTGTGGTATCCCAATCTGGCAAGGATTGCTTGAGATGGCAAGGAGGAAAGGGCCTCGGGAATTGTAAAGGACAATACAGATGCTTGTTTGGAGGCCTCTATTTCCCTGTCGATAACTTTCTCTCTTACCCTTCCACTGTATAATTCACCATCCCAAAATATATCCTTGCCATCCAGCTCTATGTTTTTGTCCATGCCTTTGCCAGGGTGCCTTACCTCCCAGATCCACCCATAGAACTTCTCCCTCCACTCACTTGAACATCGGTTTAGTGTCTTCGGTGCATAACGAGTGTTTTCTTATTGCCGTCTCATCCAGGAAGCATCATTCCTGGACCACTTGACCTCACCTAGCTTCATCCCCTTTCTTCTAAAAGCCACTGTGCTCTTTGCCGCTGTCCAATACTGTGGTGCTGACCACAGTCTGTTCAAGTGCTCATGTGGCTTTTCCTCCCCTCTTAGATCAGAGGCTTGCTTGAAGAAAGGGCCTGCTTTATTTAATTGCCTCGCTTACCCGTGGCACATAGTACAGTGCCTAGAACACAGTAGGCACTGTTTGTTGGAACTGAGATTTCTTTACTCTTGCCAGGATGGGGACTTCCTGGCAAGAGTAAAAGAAATGGGTAAGGACCATTCTGGCCCCTGTGCTAAGTGTTGCCAGGGTCCTGGGATGGAAAGAGTTCACGTGGGGTAGGGGGAGGTTAGGAGGGAAGGAGGAAGGGGGCTTCGCATGGGATGTCAATTCTTGCTGTCTCCTGCCCAGTTCTCCAAGGAGAAGTACATCCTGGACTCATCGCCTGAGAAACTGCACAAGGAGTTGGAAGAAGAACTCAAGCTCAGCAGCACAGATCTCCGTAGCCATGCCTGGTACCATGGCCGCATCCCCCGTGAGGTGAGTGGGCCCTGAGCTGGGACCTCAGCCCTAGACCCTTTCACCCACCACTCGGCCAGCCTCAGCCCAGAAAGGCTCTGATCTATTGCGTGGTGGGTTCTATCAGAATGGACTACCAGGATGAGGTGTAGTTCTGCCATTTACTGACTGTATGACCTTGGACAAGTCACTTCACCTCTCTGAGCCTCAGTTTCCTCCTCTGTACAATGGAGGATAATAATAGTACCTAATTCGAAGGGCTATTGTGAGAATTAAATGAAATAATAGAACATACTTAACATGATGTCTGATATGCAGTGAATTCAAGGAACATTGTCCTTTGTTGTTGTTATTACTTTTTTTTTTTTCTGTTTTGTTATGGGCCTATACATCAGCCTCCTGTGTGTTTGGTTAGTGAGTATCAGTCCTTAGGCTGCTCAGTTTGGGCAAAGTAGCGTTTTCGGGCTGAGGCTCAAACTCGGGCCGATAGTCACCTGTTTCCTCTTTCGTTCATGCTATAAATCTTTGTCGGCTCCACCAGGCCCTGTGCTAGGAACCAAGGATGCAAAGAGAAAACAGGTGGTGGCTTCCCTTGAGGGCTGGTGGTCCACGGTGGGAGCTGACAGGCGGGCGGACAGTCAGAGCCCCATGGGAGAAGTGTGAGAGTGGGGTGCCAGCAGGGAGTGTGGGCAGGCCCCGGGCAGGGGGTGTTGAGGAGAGGGGTTATCGTGAGATGGAAAGGAGTTCATCAGGTGATCGGGGGTGGGGTGGGGCAGGATATTCCAGGCAGAGGAAGAGGCTCGAGGGCACCTAGAGACAGGCATGAGCACTGGGTGTGTGGAAGAGCCGGGATCGTCCCTCTGCCCAATGTGAGGGAGGGAAGAGGTAGGTCTGAAACTGAGCTGCAGATCATGGTGACCCCAGTTCCCCAGACCCTGTGTCCCTGTGACCTCCATTCCAGGGTAATGAGACCTGCCGTTCCTGAGCCTCTCTGTGTGCCCTCAGACCCAGAGCCTCTGGTTGAGTTGCCCCCTCTGCATCTGGGTCATTGCATCCCCCCACCTCAAGCCTCACATGTCTCTGTTTACCGTGTCCTCAAGATCCTGGGTGTGGCCCTCTCCTGACCCTGCCCTACCACGCCTGAGCCCGCCTTGCCTCCTGCAGGTCTCGGAGACCCTGGTGCAGCGCAATGGCGACTTCCTCATCCGGGACTCGCTCACCAGCCTGGGTGACTACGTGCTCACGTGCCGGTGGCACAACCAGGCCTTGCACTTCAAGATCAACAAGGTGGTGGTGAAGGCGGGCGAGAGCTACACGCACATCCAGTACCTGTTCGAGCAGGAGAGCTTTGACCACGTACCCGCCCTCGTGCGGTACCACGTGGGCAGCCGGAAGGCTGTGTCGGAGCAGAGCGGCGCCATCATCTACTGCCCTGTCAACCGCACCTTCCCCCTGCGCTACCTGGAGGCCTGCTATGGCCTGGGCCAGGGCAGTGGCAAGGCTGCCAGCCCCGCCAGCCCCTCGGGCCCCAAGGGCAGCCATATGAAGCGGCGCAGTGTCACCATGACCGATGGACTCACTGCCGACAAAGTCACCCGCAGCGATGGCTGCCCTGCCAGGTGAGCAAGGACACCACGCTCGGCCTCAGTCTCCCCATTTGTCAAGTGGGGGTTCAGTAATGAGAGTACTGGTGAGAGAGGGGAGGCCCTGTCACACTGAACTGGGGCCCCAGGGTGCAGGGAACAGGAGGAAGGTCGGGCCGTACTGGCGAGGCCACACAGGGCTGGCCAGCAGTCAGTCCCAGGGCGCAGTCCCCGCTCTGCCCCCACCAGCTGTGTGCCCTCGGCCTTTTAAGTCCTTCACCTCTGTGCTCCTGCCTGTAAAGGGCCCGCGCTAGGATAGCCCCCTCTGGCCCAAGGGGGACCCTGGGTACTGCCCTATCCCAGGCAGAGGGCCTGGTGCCTTTCACCGGTGAAACCCCTCCCCTCCCCACCTAGCTAGGCCAAGGTGAGCATCAGAACGGAGGGCTTTGCTGTGGACAAACCACCACACAGAGAATGGAATGTTCTTAGGAACACTTTGATGACACGCAGTTGCCTCTGGGGCTGGGTGAGACGAGGCCCTGATCCCAGGAAAGGCCACAGCAGCAAATCATTCCTGAGGCCAACTGTGCACCTAGCCCTGTGCCGAGTGCTCTCTGTGCTCAGTCTCATCAACTTCCAAGCCCGGCTAGGCAGTGGCTCCTGTTCATATCCCCATTTTATAGAGAGGGGAAGCTGCTTGCTAGATTGAGAGGGGTAAGATTGACATTCAAGCCCAGGTCTGTGACTCCAAAGTCTGTGCTCCTAATTTCAATGGCTTCCCTGGCTGTTTGCAGAAAGACCTGCCATTCTGTGCCACTAACACTTGGATATGTATCGTATCCCTGGGGCTAGGGGCTGTCAGCCAAGGAACTGATGGTTGGATACCCTGTGGGCAAAGCCACTTGGACTGTGGTTTAGAACCAGTGACGGTACTGGTGCCACACAGGCCATGTGTGCTCCAGGAACCCTGAGCATAGCATGGGAGCAGTGAGGAGGGGTTAGATTGGCAGGCCTTGCTCCCTGGGGCTTCCCATCCTCCCTGGGGCTTCTCATCCTTCCTGCTAGCCCGCCTTCCCAGACAGTTCTCCAAGTTGAGGACAAGGTTCCCAGAAAAGAGAACAGTTGTGCAGGTTGTGGACTGTACAACCCCTTCCTCCTCTGGGCTTCAGTTTTTGTACCTGTCAAGTGGGAGGTTGGACTTGATAATCTCTGAGCCTTTTCTGCCTCTGAAGTTCAGCAGATCTAGGATGTAAGCAGAGGTGGGGGGTCCTAAGGCTGGCTGAGGACCCCAACCTCTGGGTTCTCTGCTTATGAAGGTGTCTGCTCCACAGCACATCACTACCCCACTCCCGGGAATCCATCCGCAACTGCGCCCTCAGCATGGACCAGATCCCAGACCTGCACTCGCCCATGTCCCCCATCTCTGAGAGCCCCAGCTCCCCTGCGTACAGTACCGGTATGGCCAGTGGAGGGGATAAGGGCGGGTGGGGGCATCTGGTGGCAATGACCTTGTGTGTGCACGTGTTTTTGATGAGTTCTGTTACAGGGTATGATTATGTGTGTTTCTATCTCTTTTCTAAGAGCAAGACCCTACAAGAATTTACACTAAAAACCTGCTAGCAGAACTATTGAGGTCGACATGCAAATCAGATTCACGGTTTGCTCATTCAGCAACAATTCATTGAGCCCGTATCGGGTACCAGGCACTGTGCACGAAGTAGTTTCCGGTGCTTTCCAGTAGTTTCCAGAATGCATCGAAGTCTGCTGGAAGCTCATGGTGTCACCAAACCTGGGCTCAAAGGCTGTACGATACACTCACGCAGCAGCACAGCCTCTCTGGTTATGCTTGTTGGTTATGCGTGGAGGGCGCACTGCTGGGCCCTGCGTCGACTGAGACCTAGGGAGCCCCGATTTCAAATGACCGGCCCAAACCGAGCTCGCCATGTTACGTTTTTTGCTCTTTTTTTTTTTTCTTTTAAATGGACTTTATTTTTTAGAGCAGTTTTTAGTTCGTAGTGAAATTGAGCAGAAAGTTCAGACTGCTGAGCTTTTTCAAATACAAAGAAAATTTACATTGTAGAAACACACCGCTCGTTCATTTCTAGAAGAAAAAAAAAAAAGAATGTTTCCAATTATCAACGGGACAATTTCTAAGCAACATGGCATACTCACGTACCCAGGAGCCGGGTTTTAAATCCCAGCTCTCCCACTGACTGGCTGGGTGACCTTGGGCAAGTCAGCTCACGTCTCTGAGCCTCGGTTTTCTCATCTGTAGAATGAAGACCACAAAAGTACTTACTTTATAGGACGTTGAGAGGGTTAAATGGACTAATGTGCAAAGAAAAATCTCACAGGCAGTAAGAGCTCAATAAGCATCATCTCTAATTTTGGATGATGGTTTTACTGCTGTTGACCAGTGTATCTCCAGCATGTCACCAGCTCCTGGCACATGTGAACCCACCAAACCATTATTACTAATTCATCAAGAAATAATTCCATGTGTCACAATGAACTCCAGCAATTGCTTAGCTTCCCTGAATCTCTGAAAGCTCTTCCAAATAGTTCAGTGGTTGTGTGCAGATTCCTGGGGGCCAGTGATTTCAGAGTATCGCTGAGGGCCGGTCCATTTGCTAGAGTCTGCTGGGCCCGGCCTGGGTGCAGGGAAGTTGGGTTGCTGTCTGTAGGGTGGATGGAGACTGTCTTTTGGGCAGAAGGTGGGGGAACCTCACTGGGTGGGAGCCATGGTAACTAGTCCTCTCCCTCTGTCTCTCTGCAGTGACCCGTGTTCACACCACCCCTGCAACCTCCTCAGCCACAACACTGCCCGCCTCCCCTGTCACCCGCCGCTCCAGTGAACCCCAGCTGTGTCCTGGAAGTGCCCCAAAGCCTTCTGGGGAGCCAGACAAGGGCCCTTATGCCAGCCCTTCCCACACCCTCTGCAAGGCCTCTCCATCACCATCGCTCAGCAGCTACAGTGACCCGGACTCTAGCCATTACTGCCAGCTCCAGCCTCCCGTCCGTGGCAGTGAGTGGGCAACAGTTGAGGCCTCTAGCCGGCAGGCAAAGAGCTACGGGGAGAGGCTAAAGGAACTGTCAGAAAACAGGGCCCCCGAGGGGGACTGGGGCAGGGCCTTTACAGTCCCCATCGTGGAAGCCACCTCTTCCTTCAACCCAGCCACCTTCCAGTCACTACTGATCCCCAAGGATAACCGGCCACTGGAGGTGGGCCTCCTGCGCAGGGTCAAGGAGCTGCTGGCAGAAGTGGATGCCCGGACGTTGGCCCGGCACGTCACCAAGGTTGACTGCCTGGTAGGTGCTGGGTGTGCGCTGGGACAGGGGTAGCATCCCTGTCCCCTGGCTTTGGAACAGGGGTCAAGGTAGTGAGGAATACAGCCAGCGGACCTGGATTCTGGCTTCGTGGCTGTCCTTTACTCGCTGCGTGACTCTGGGCTGATAACTTTGCTTTTCTGGGTCTCCATTTTCTCCTTTTAAAAAGGCAAAAAAACCCAAAAAACAAAAAAATAACACAAGATATTTTTGCTTTCTCCAGATGTCAGTTTGGCATTGGAATCAGGCAGTCCTGAAACCCAATGGCGTCTGACTTCCTGGGGTAGTTTTTGAGCCTGGTGAAAGTCCAGGGCTGGTCCAGGGAATAGAGAAGACCCTACTCACCGCCCCCACGCCCTCTGGTGGACAAAATAAGCAAAACTCCTTATCTGCGCCTGTAAAGGGTCAGAGCCGGGGATGTTTGCTTTGAACGAATATATTTGCCCATCTAAGGACCTCGACTCTCTCTGCGTCTCAGTTTCTCCTTCTGAAGTTTGGAGGGCACTGATTACTTGGTCACACTGGTCTCGCAGCTCAGGAAGCAAGAAAAGAGACAGTGCACAGATGTTGCTCTGTAAAGGGCACGGAGATGTGAAGGGAACAGCGCTGGGTTCTAGGCCCAGTGTGTGACCTTGGATAAGCCCTTTCTCTCCCTGGGACTCAGGTTTGCCTTTCGGAATAAGGTAGTCCTGGTCCTTAACCTTAACTGAATATTTAACATGTCAGAGACCCCTGGGCATTTTTTTCCATTTATCAGATGAGAAAAACGAGGCTCATTTGCTCCATTTCAGAGAGTTAGCAGTAGATTTGGAATTCAAACTCGGCCTCCCAGCCAGGCTGCCCGCTTAGGTAAAGCTCTCTTGATTCCCAGATGGCTTGGGCCAGCCACGACAGGAAATTAATCAGCCCTCTGGGCGTCCTTGCAGGTTGCTAGGATACTGGGCGTTACCAAGGAGATGCAGACCCTAATGGGAGTCCGCTGGGGCATGGAGCTGCTCACCCTCCCCCATGGCCGGCAGCTACGACTAGACCTGCTGGAAAGGTAAGGCAAGCACCAGCACTCAAGGGCCGCGCGGGGAATCCCCGGGCTACCTCCTGTCCTTTGGCTGTGGCCGATTGGCCAATCACAGTCTTCCAGCCCGACTCCCGGGGTTCTGGCCACGCCCCCTATCCCATTGACCAATCGCAACTTGTTATCCAGCTCCAAGAAATTCTAGTTTCTCAAAGACTGAGTCTTTTATCTCCGGACTCACCTTTGCATCCTCTTGACCAGTCACAGCCCAAGAGCCCCATCAGCTCTGGCTCCTCTTTCCGAATTCCCCTGATCCATCTCCAGCACCTCAGCCAGGTGCTCAAGGGCCTCGGCCCCACCTCTCACTCTGGCGGCGCCCCTTAATCTCACTGACCCTTTACAACCTGGGGGCTCGGCTCTCGGGCCCCCAGTGCAACAGCTGGGCAGTGGCAGGGCCCCTTCCTGCCACGCTAGGTCCTTGGCCCCGCCCTTTTGACCTGGCCTCTCCGGTAGGTTCCACACCATGTCCATCATGCTGGCTGTGGACATCCTGGGCTGCACAGGCTCTGCTGAGGAGCGGGCAGGACTTCTGCATAAGACCATCCAGCTGGCAGCTGAACTTCGGGGGACCATGGGCAACATGTTCAGCTTCGCCGCAGTCATGGGTGCCCTGGATATGGCCCAGGTAGTGAGGGGCCCACGCAGAGCGGGGCATCACATAGACTGTCTGGAAGAGCCCGGGGATATATTCCTTTGGGATGGCTGCATATTGGTTCGGGAAGAACTCTGTGACTTTCTCTGCAGCGCTGGCGACAGGGCAACTGGAAGAGTTGAGCTCTCTGAGGTGGAACCTCATCCACTCTCCCATGCCTAGTAAATAGTAACCACGGGGTCCCAAAGGCGGTGGGTGGTTTAACTCCCCGCTCTGCCACTTATTTTTGGAATGACTCTGGGCAAGTCATTCCCCTCTCTGAGCCTTAGTTTCCTCATTTGTAAAATGTGTTGTTGCGAGGGCTTCATGAGAGACACGTGAAAAGCAATCAGCACCATCCCCGATACATGAATGGCGACCGTAACAATAATTCTTATCCCATATCTGGGTGTCCACTCAGCAAGGCAGTCCGTGGCCCCTGCAGGCCCCTTTCCTGGCTGGTCACTCACAGTCTGGTCTCCCCAGATTGCCCGGCTGGAGCAGACGTGGATGACCCTGCGGCAGCGACACACAGAAGGTGCCATCCTCTATGAGAAGAAGCTCAAGCCATTTCTCAAAAGCCTCAACGAGGGCAAAGGTACCTCCCCCACCTTCCTATGTGACCTTCCACAGGTTGCAGCCCTCTCTGGGCCAGCAAAGATTTTCCTGGTGTGGATGACGATAAGAACTTGACTGAACTCAGTGCGAGCCATTCTCCTTGCGCCCACTCTGCCCCTGACGACTGTGTAGGCTGCGTCCAGGTCCAGGCTTGGCCCTTAGGGCTGGGCCAAGGCCGTCATGGGTTCGGCTGAAAGGAAAGATCTATCCCCGGAGTCAGGAGCCCTGGAGGCTTCCCACGACCCCAGGCAGGCCCCTTCCCCTCTTCCTCCCGCATCTCAGTTTCTTGGAGGGCTGTGGGCAGCAGTGGGTGGGGGGAAATGGGGGGGCTCCAGGGTTTCTAAGCGCCCACTGCTTTCTCCCCTGCAGAAGGCCCCCCGCTGAGCAACACCACCTTTCCTCACGTACTGCCCCTCATCACTCTGCTGGAGTGTGACACAGCCCCTGCCGAGGGCCCCGAGCCCTGGGGCAGCACGGAGCACGGTGTGGAGGTGGTGCTGGCCCACCTGGAGGCTGCCCGCACAGTGGCACACCACGGAGGCCTGTACCACACCAACGCTGAGGTCAAGCTGCAGGGTGAGTCCCTGGTCACGTCCTGGGGGCAGGACGGTCACTGGTCCCGCGGACTTCGCTCTCCCCTTCCCTCCAGATGTCCATTCCCACTTCTCCACCCCTCTTTCCTGCCCTGTCTCCCTGACTCATTTTTCTCATTCTTTTTCTTCCTCACTCATCAGTTCAACAAGCAATGGTGAGTGGCAGGCCCAGGTGGAGACAGAGGTGATTCAAAGTACACCACAGATCGCATCTCAGTGTGTCTTAGCTTCTCCCAGCCTCAGTTTTCTCCTATGTGAAGCGGGTATCCTAACAGGCCTACTTTACTAGTTGTTTGCAAAGCACTTGGCCTGGGGCCCTGGGGCTGAGGCAGACCCGCCCTGCCTCCCAGGCCCTGCCCTGCCCTGCCCCTCAGTCTAGTTGAAAGGTAGAGCTTCCTCTCCTGAAAGGAGCAGAGAGAAAGGGCTTCAGACCATCCATCTTTCACTGCTTTAGGCATTATTTAAGTCATAAAAATTTACTGTAGACAAATTGGAAATTACAGCTGAGCAAAAACAAGATTAAAAAAAAATCGCCCGCAATTACCCGGAGGTTATTGCTGTGAGCATTCTGGTGTATGTCTGTCCTGACTTTCTTTTTAAGAAAGAAAAAAAAATTATTTTTGCATCGACTAATAAAATGTATATATGTTTCTTAGGGAAAAAATTGTAACTTACAGAAAAATACAAAAAAAAAAAAAAAGAAGAAGAAAAATCACCTAAGATCCCCCCAAGTTAACATTAATATTTAATCTCCTAGTCATTTTTAAATTACATGTTGCAAATAGTAGGGTAAATAAGTCTATCTGTTCTGTGCTAAACTGCGTGGCCATGTCCATCAACAATCCATGTCGAATCCCTGCAGAGCTGGAGGGAGGGATGGGGTGGCCCCAGGTGCGAGCCCCGGCCTCTCCAGCTGCATGACGGACCCCTCTGCCCCGCCCCGCAGGGTTTCAGCCCCGGCCAGAGCTCCTGGAGGTGTTCAGCACTGAGTTCCAGATGCGCCTTCTCTGGGGCAGCCAGGGCGCCAGCAGCAGCCAGGCCCGGCGCTATGAGAAGTTCGACAAGGTTCTCACTGCCCTGTCCCACAAACTGGAGCCTGCCGTCCGATCCAGCGAGCTGTGACCCACATGGACCCTTCCCCTCTGCAAGCTGCAGGCAGCAACGGGGACAGAGGGGCACAGACCTTTCCCCGGAGCACCCCAGGGACACTGTGATCAGCCCAAGAATGTTCTGGGCTCAATGCCAGGATCGCCCTTCACCTCCAGGGTCCTGCATAGACTCTGGGCTCCGTCCCACCTGCCACATGCACACCAAGTCTCCCTTCAGGAAGAGCCGGAACCCTTGTTCCTTTCTCCAGCGTCTGCTTCTCCCCTT